ACTGCACGAGACGCCCAAGGCACCCCGGACTTCCACAGGGGTGGAAATAAATCCCCGTCTCCTCTGTAAAGCCCCTGGCCCCCAGGGAAAAGGGGTCGCAAAGCCCCTGGGGAGAGACCCTGGGAGAAAAAGGGGCCGCAGCCTCCCCGCGGCAGCGCTGGCCGCTCCGGTGGTGGGATGCGCGGCAGTGTCGTAATTCAGGTAATCGCCCTGGGAGCGACCATGCCGCCTTGGGGAGGCAACGCAGCAGCCCCTGCGGGGGCTTCCCTGGCCCGGGCCGTGCAGAGGGACAGGCCAGATGACAAAACGGCCTCAAAGAGCCTTAAAATCAGTGGCAGTAAACAACACCCCACGGGGAACGGTTACAGAGCTGTGGTTTGCGTCCCAAAGGCTGTCTGCTGAACGGGCGAGAGCACGGGGCTGGTGTTCACGCCGTCCCTTGCAGATAGCGAATTTGGGAGCCCAGGGTCCCCCCCTCTGCCCCCGTCCTTGCAGGAGCAGGATGGGGAGCTGCGCTCTGACCCCGGCACGGGAGCTCAGGGCGGATATCGGGCAGGGCAAACACTCTCACAAAAAAACGGGCTCAGGTCAGCCCTGGGGCTCTGGCAAGACACCTGCCAGGTCTGTGTCTTTGCAATTCTTAAAAACCTTTGGCATTTTACTTCGCAATTCAGAATTTGCCTGGCATGCCCCATATCACAGCCCTGCAAAGGGAACCAAACTGCATTTACAAACCTCCTCCCTTCGACCCACAGCTGCCTGCACTGGCCCCGCTCCTTGCCTGCACCCGCTCCCTGCCTGCACCCCGCTCCGTCCTGTGTCCTCGCTGCCCCTAAAGTTGCCACCTGGCCCGCGGCCTTTCTGCTCTTCCAGAGGGGAAAACAAAAGCCGAGAGCTGCCTCGCAGCAGGGAAAACTTTGAAAACGCAGTGGTGGCACGTGGGAAAACCATATTGGGGTGAGGAAACCCAGTGGCCTCAGAGAGGGGGTTCTGGGGCTCCCCGCTACGGCCCCAGCGGACAGGACCTGGTGGGCGCTTAGGGCGGCGGCAGGGAGCCCCGTCCCCACGGGCAGGCTTGGAGCAAGCACCCCTGGATGACGGCAAAGCCCTGTGGCTCACGGGAGGATGGGGGCTGATCCTGGTGGTTTTATCCCCTAAATACCAGCGTTAGAGCGGCTGCGGGGAAAATCGGCGTCGCTGGTTTCCTTCTTGCCTTCGGGCAGGGCTGGGAGGTTGTAACCATGGTCGTGTCACCATACGGAGCGCTGGAGGCGGGGAGGCGAGGCCGGGTGGGAAGGAAACACCAAGGAGGATTTAAACTTGTGCTCAGGGGTCCAGAGCTGGGGAAAAGCTATGATCCAGCCTCGGGCACTCGCTGAGCCCAAGACCTGGCACAGCCTCGGCTGCATGCGCCGGCGTCACCGTGAAGTGGCGGTGGGATGGGGGTGGCGGCGGCAGTGCCTCTGACTGAAGTGAATCGGCAGCGTGTGTTCATCCCGAAGTAGCACTTAGTGAGTGAAGTTTTGCTCAGTTTTTAAATAACACAGACACTTCCCGGAGGCTCTTTTCTTCTCCCTTCACAGGTGCGGTTCATGCGGTGCGACAGGGGCTTTCCTGGCGGCGTGAAATCCTGCTGCTCTTCCTCGTACGGCAAATACACGAGACAGTGGCACCCGGAGAAGGGAACCGAAAGTGGCTCTCCGGCCTGGGGAGAGGAAGATTACGATCCGGGAAGGACAGGCTCCCAGGCCCACTGCCTCGGCCTCTCCTTCGGGAAGAGCAATCCCCCTGTGTTCAGCTTGATCCGATTCCCCTGGCGAAGCGGCGGACAATTTTACCCGGGGGTGAAGCCAGCGCCATTCCAGCAGAGCTTGAAACAGAAGGTTAAAAAAAAATAATAACGACAAAACACCCCTTTCTTCCTCAAACCAAGCAGATGCGGGCGGCACCCCACATTTCACAAGGACTCTGCAAGTGGCGGGTGGGGAAAAAACAAACCCTCAGCCCATGTGGGAAGGGGCTGGTGCCCGGGAGGGAGAAGGGAGAGCTCATGGGAAGAGGGAGATCGCAGCGGGGATTTCCCCAAGCGGCAAACAGGGGCCACAATCTTTCGTAAGCTCGTTGACCGCCTCCAAAAGCGGGTGACGGTGGACGAAGTGCCTCGTGCCAGGAGTACCCGGAAGACAACTCGCCTCCGGGGTTTTCGGCTGCGCCTCGGCCAGACGCACGATGCAGGAGCCGTCCCTCCGCCTCGGCGCCTCCGTCCGGAGAGGTGCCTGGCCGCCGCTGCGGCGGGGGGGCCCAGAGAGGTGCCTGGCCGCCGCTGCGGCGGGAGGCCTCAGAGGAGGCTCAAGATTCTATCTTTTCCTTCTTTTTGCCTTTTTTCAGGAAAGATGGGGTCCGGAATTTCTTCTTCTTCTTAGAGGGTGATTTGGAGGGTGAACCTTCGGGGGAGACGGGGCTGCTGGTCACCGTCTCCTTCTCCTTGGGGGCGTCCGGGTCAGCGTTGGCAGGGGAGGTCGTCTGGCTCCCCCCTTTGCCCAGGCTTTCCTCGGTGCTTTGCTCCTCGTCCTTCCCGTTCACCACCGCCGGTGGCTCCTTCTCGGCAGTGGAATCGGCCGGCGCTTGGCCGCCGTCCGCCTTCTTGTCACCTTAGCAAGGGGAAAGGGGAGAGGTGAGGCTTGGGGCAGCGGTGGCCGGCGCTGAGGTGGTTTAAATCCCCCACCACTCGCTGGTTTGACCTGGGCAGGAGCGGGATTTGGCCCCCTGTGGACGGAGAGCGCTGGGACCCGATCCCCTCCTGCCGCAGGCACCGCTTTCCTGAGCCTTCCCCCCTCCCTCCCTGCAGGACAAGCGCCGGTGGGATGGAGAGCTGGGAAGAGGCGGGTGGGGAGGGCGGCTGGCTCCGTCCCGGCCTCGCCACTGGAAATAAAGCGGGCAGCAAAGAAAACGAGGCAACTCAAGGCATTTCCTTCTGTGAAACCCCGAGCGGGGCACCGCTCCCCGCGGGAGCGCGTCTGAAACGGGCCACGGAGAGCACGGTCACCCCGAGCTAGCGGGGAGCGCGGTCGCCCGCGTCCCTCCTCCCGCAGCGAGGCTCGAAGATGGCCTCTCCGTACTTACTACGGTGACAAGTATTCAGAGGTAACTCCTTGGGTGAAAGCCACACGTGGAGGAAAGAGAAAGGAAGACATTGTGGAGACAGACAGACAGACATCATGAGACACGATGAGAAAGCGAGAAGCCCCGCGCTCCCATGCCCTCTCCCATGCCCTGAGACCCACCGCCACTTGTAGATGACAAATTTACACTTGGGGGAATATATTAATGGGAATATTACATCCGGCGTCGCGTTGGGAGGGGGACAGAGGTGTCCCCTGCCGCCCCGCAAAGCCACCACGTGATGCTCACGTCCTCCCGCCGTGAGGTTTAAGGCAAGCAGTGGCTTGGGTGCCTTTGCGGTGTGAACCCCCATCGGCCCCACCGGAGTGGGCACCCCCCTGGGGAAAGGCAGAGGGACGCCGGGGTGACATTTATCTGCGTTTCAGTGGGGTTTCGCTACAGCCACCCTCATCCCCTCGCTGGAGACCCGCTCCTCGTCTCCGCTCGCCAGCGCACTCACCCTCCGAGGGCTCCGCAGGCGTCGGGGCCGGGCTCTCTGCCGGCGCCGTGGCTGGGCTCTGCGGCGGGGAGGTGGGGGGTGATTTGGCGGGGGGAGCCTGGCTCTCCTCTGCCGCGGCATCCTTCTCGCCTGCCAGCGGAGAGACGTGCTGACCCCGAGGGTCCACCGGGTGCCGGCCCCACAGGGGATTTGGGATCAGGGCTCCCCCGTACCCCTCCTACCCTGCAGGCCCAGCTTTTTCCTCTCCACCTCCTGCTTGTACTCCTCCAGCTCCTGGTCGGTGAGCTGGCTGAAGGGGTTCGGGGGCTCCGGCTCGGGGGGTGCCTCCTCCCGGGACGCCTCTTTGGCCTCCGCGTCCCCCAAACGGCTCTCTGTGGACTGAAACACCCCGCCCCAGAGCGGCGTCAACCCCCCGAGCGGTGGGATGCCGGGGAGCTGGGGAAGGGCTGGGGGCTCCGGGGGGACGTACGGGGCTGCGGCTGGTCTCGGCGATCACGCTGGCCAGCAGCTGCGACTGGGGCCCGGCCGACTTCACGTCCTGGCGGTTTTGCTCCCGGATCTGCAGGCAAGATGCAGAGCAAGGACGGGGAAAAAGCCTCCCCCGCCACCCTGGGGTCTGCCACCACCCCTGCGCCCACGTCAGAAAGCCTCTGGGGCTTTCGGGATGGGACCGTACCTTGTTCCTCATCTCCAGCACCTCCTGCGGGTCCGTGTAGAGGGGCACGAACTGGTTGGGGTTCTCGATTCGGATGGGGGTCCCGCTGCTGCCTTTTTCCACCTCGTCCGCTTTCAGCCACTGCGTGTTGCAGAGATGAAACCCCGATAAATACGCGTCAAGGAGAGAGGAGACCCCAATAAATGCATCTCGCATAGAGGAGGGACCCCGATGAAACCCACGGTGCTCAGCCCCCTGGGCTGGGGAGGTGGGATTTTAAAATAAATATTATTATGAGGTGGGGGGAATAGAGGAGGAAAGGAAAGCTTGCATTAAATAAAGGCACCAAACGAAGCGTCTCTCGCTTCCGGAGGATCCCTGGCTGTTTCTGCACACCAGATTTTGGTGGGATCGATAACATCCCAAGCATACCCCATCTGCCTTTTTTTTAGTACCCAAAAATCCCCCCCCCATCCAGCTGGTGCCATTCCCAAGCCAGCCCCCTTCCCAGGTTAACCCAGCGCCCCCGGGATGCCGCAGCAGCCCCGCACCGTCGTCTTCGTCTTCTGGCTGCCGGCGCTGCCCTGCTGCTCCTCGGCCACGTTGACCCTCATGTAGGTGTTGGGGGTGTTGAGCCACCGCGTCTTCTCCTTCTGTTGCTTCTGGGCGTGCTGCCGCAGCGCGGGGACGGGGGCGGCCTCCTCCTCGAAGACGAAGGCCGTCACCGTGGCAGGGATCAGCACGTCGCTTTTGGGCTTGCTCTTCTCCTGCACGAAGGGGTAGCGGTAGGTGTAGCCTGTGCGGTAACCCTGGAAAGGCAGAGAGCGCTCGGTCACAAATAACATAGGGATAAAAAAAAAGAGATATTTTTGTGCGGTTTGGGGTAGCTCACTGCATTTCGGTGCTGGCCGGTGCTCACCAGGTTGTCCAGCATCCTCATCAGGGCTTCGAATTCGTGCTCGCCCAGGCGGCTCTTCTGCATGGGCCCGAAGGTGCTGCCGGCCCAGCGCACGGAGCCCACCTCGTGCGGCCGGTGCTTGGCGCGCTCCAGCACGATCAGGTTCTCCACGCCGCCCGCGCTCGCCAGCGCCGACACCTACGGCCGAGTCCGGGGAGACACAGCTGAGGCAGCCGGACCGGGAGCAGCGGGGTGGTCCCAGACCTGCCCATGGCCCCCGTGGCTGCAGGGCTGCGCTGGCCTGTCCCATCCCGGGACACCGTGCTGGCTGCAGAGACCCGGCACAGCTCAGTGCGTGGTCCCAGGGCACCGTTGCTGGCTGCAGAGACCTGGCACAGCTCAGTGCATGGTCTTGAAGCAACGTGCTGGCCTCAGAGACCTGGCATAGCTCAGTGCAGGCTCCCAGGGCACGGTGCTGGCAGCAGAGACTGTGCACAGCTTGGTGCTTATTCCCAGGGGCACCGCGCTGGGAGCTGAGACCGTATGCAGCTCAGCGCACACCCTGGCGCGGGCCGGGCGCTCACCTGGATCTCGCAGGCTGCCTGCAGGTGGAAGATGCTGTAGAAAGCCTCCTCGGCGGTGTCGCCCAGCGCCAGCACCCCGTGGTTGCGCAGCACCAGGATCTGCAGCACCGAGCACGGGGAGGGTCAGTGGGACAAGGAGGAGAGGACAGGGACGGCACGGTGGCCCTCGTCCCCACCCCGTCCCCTCACCTTGCAGGTGGGGCCGAGGGATTTTTGGAGCTCGACTCGATCGGCTTCATCCTCCACCTCCCCGTGGAAGTCGAAGTAGGCGACGTCGCCCAGCAGCAGGGCGGCGCGGGAGATGGGCAGCACGCCGCAGCGCATGGCCGACACCTGCGGCAGAGCGGGCAGGGCAGGCAGGGCGACAACCCCCTCCCTTC